GGAAAAAAAAAAAAAAAAAAAAAAAAAAAAAAACAACGTTATTAAACTGTAGATGTGGTTGCCTGTTGGAGAAATTTGGAAAATGAAGCCTTCATGCTGTTAAAAAGAAAGATAAACAAATGTTAGGAAAATGCTGAAATATTTATTAGCATCAAACAACTAGCCCGTTGGTTTGAAACAGGATCTTCTCATTCTGCCTTTTAGTGTTACTTAATGTCCTATTCTTGCACCCTTACAGCCTTTCATTTACCCCAAATAGTGTATGTACATCCTCCATTTTAGGAAACAATGTCCATCTTCCCTTGATTAATTTGGACTCATCCATCAGTTCTCAAATTAAATATAAATTCCTCAGAGTGGGGCCGGCCCATGGCTCACTTGGGAGAGTGTGGTGCTGATAACACCAAGGCCGCAGGTTCGGATCCCTAGACCATGGTGCTGACAACACCAAGTCAAGGGTTAAGATCCCCTTACCAGTCATCTTTTTAAAAAATAATAAATAAATAAATTCCTCAGAAAAGCCTTCCAAGACTACTCCCCAACTAAATTACATTCCCCTTACATAGTAGACACTAAATGTACCTTTATTGAAAGAGTATTCCCCTGTAGTGGAGCCTAAAGATCCTGTCTACCCATCTTAGTTCTTAAGTAGGATCTAGAAACACACAAGACAGATTAACAGAGAAAAGCATACAAATTTTATTAATTTTACATGTACATGGGGATCTTTACAAGAAAGTGAAGACCCAAAGAAATGGCCAAAGCAGAAAAAGCTTTTATACTTTCTAGACAAAGAATGCTAAGCTTTGTGAAGAAATGACAAAACAGAGTGGTTTGGGCTAGGGGCAGTAAATTAGGATATATATGGAGGGGTGTAAGGCTACTGGAAGATAAGGTTTTTTTTGTTTTTTTTTTTAATAAGTTTATTTATACAGACCCATTGCAGCACCAATTTTCAGTCACTGGTAATAAGGGTAATCTCGTTGGTACAGGGAAGGCAGCTTTCTCACGGGAATTTTCATGGCTTGCTATAGGTAAGAAAAGGCAGTGCAGATATAGCCTTTTCTGCAACTGCTGCTTCTCAAGTGCTTTCAACTAGAAATAATCAATATTCCGGTTCAGAGCATTTTGGGTTGTTTTGTTATCACTGGACCACAATTGGGTCCCCTCATCTGGCGCCCAGTTATTCCAGTATATCGAGACCAGTATTGCAGAGATAGAAAGTAGACATTGATTACAAGGCCAAGTAAGGAGACTCAGGGCAGCTAATGCTGGAAAAACCCCGGGGCTCCCCTAAAATTTCCAAGCAAAGATTTTTAAAAGCAGACTGGAGGGGAGGGGGATGTGGCAGCTTGGACAGCCAGTGGATGTTTCTGGTTGGCTGAGTCTCTTGAAACAAAATTCTCTGCGCCTTTGCTTATCATCTTTCAGTTCTAGTCAGCTTGGGATCCTTGCAGTCCGCGCCTGGTCAGCACATTCCATTAGCTGGGAAACTTAGACCTCTGTCCCTGTGAAAACATTTTTAGGGTACATGTCAAAATAGTGTCTTTTATTCTTGGAGTCTAACGGCCCCAGTTTATGGCTCCCTCTGTCCCCTAGGTTACATCCTGTTTGCCCAGCTGCCTGTCAGAGATGGCTCCTCCCTTAATCGCTATCTGTAAATTCCGGCTCCTTAATTGCAGAGCCTAGTTCCCACAATCTAAAACATCTCCTATTGGGGTAGGGGGGAAGCCCAGGCCTAAAACCCCCTTTTACCTAAACTTTTGAGGGGATTTAGGGAAGAGGGATACCTGCTCGATCTTCACCTGCGTACTACTTCTTCATAGTACTCGCACTATGGCATGGTGCATTTATGTTGTCGCCTCTTAACTAGGCCATAAGTTCTATGAGGGTAGACAACGTGTCTCTCTGTGCAATTCCGTAACCCCCCCCCCCCCCCCCCCCC